TCCTTATTGAATTTATTTTTGGTGGTGATGTTTGCGCTTTAAAAATCGTTATTATTATTATTATTATTATTGAATTGCTACCTTGTTGCCATCTGCTCCTTGATTGCCTTTCATTCCAGCTATTCCTTTCTCTCCCTTGATACCAGGTACACCTTGAATTCCCCTTGTTCCCATGTAGCCTCTTCCACCCTGCAAAAAAAAAAATAAGTAAATAAATAAAAAAAATAAAACAAGAACACCAATAATGCAATAGCCCCCTTGATATTTTAATTGCTCCAGGTTTGTATTTTTGACATGTGATGCGCCTAAGAATAATAAAATGAGCCCGAAAAATGGCAACAATCCCAGCTTGGTGGCCGGGCCAGGTCTATATACTCAGCCAGTCTATGCCTGATGAAGTCTGGGTGAGGAGTGGAATTGTACCATTGCAAGATAATCTAAGATTACAAACCCTCGCCCTGTCACGCCATATTGATGTACCTAAAAAATATGGCCCGCGAGCAAATTAGTTTTCGTAGGTTGGTGAAGCAAAATCTCATGAATAGTTTGTGCATGCGCTATTTTAAAGTCCATGTCAGCCTGATAATGATCAGCTGCTCTGTACATCGCAATGCGACCTAGTGTTCAGTCCTTGTATGGGCCTTGTATTTGAATCAATATTATTCGACTGTCAGTCTGCAAATACTAAACACTAAGGTAAGACTTCGCTCGATGCTGCGAAGCTAAAGGCAAGCGCAAGGGACATGCCCATAGAGCGGTTCACTGGCGCCACCACTGTCTGCTTTACGATCCATAATAGATGATAATCTGTCATGCAATATAGGCCAATAAAACAAAGAGTATTGTCCCAGCCTAACCTATTGGGAAATCATTGTCGGCTGGTTTTAAGAACTTATATTTTTAATATTTCTTTTCCGGTTATATATACAGACCATGGTCCTCCATGTACAGACTGTCTCTTGTAAAACAAATATTTGTGTGCATAATAAAAAAAAAGAACACACGTGTAGAACGAGTGTCTTAGGACTTTATAAGTGGTACCATGTATATAAGTATGTTTACTGTATATTGTGCAAGTGCAATACTTATTCTTATGATGAGCAAATAAAGGTCTATGAGGATTCTCACCTATTGATCCTGCAGTGTTTCGGTGTTCCTTGCTTTCTCGATCCTTGAAACAATATCATCAAGGAGGCAGTTTTCGCTCCGCTGTCTTGCAATTAAGCAATTAATTGTCGCCAACAACGCACAAAGGCATTTATAATTATCATGGTCAGTTTATTAAAGATCCCCCATGCTTGAAAAAAATAATTTATACTGAACTTACTGTAGAACCTGGTATACCAGGTTTACCAGTGCGTCCAAGGTCTCCTTTGTTGCCTTTAACCCCCTTTAGACCCTGTGATCCTGGAAGACCTGGGTTACCAACCATACCCTAAAATAAAAAGACAAAAGGATTACAGATTGAATTGCATAAAATTGACAGATGTGAGCTGTCGTGACAAAATGAGTCTTGTCGTACGAAAAATGAAAAATGAGTTATTGATATATTTAGATAGATGAATATATAAGCTTTATTTTGGTGTTTAAATCATGTTCCTAGGTTAAGCATAAAACTGGAGTAAGATCATTTTGAAGTTCAGATGTCTGAAAACATTCTTAAGAGAAAATTGCCTCTAAAGATAAACAACTGATAAATTTTGTGTTGGTTTTCCTATTAATTCTGAAATATAGCTTTACAAAGTGTGCCTCAAAAACATGATTACATTAGGTAACTCAACTCGGACCTTTTGCTACTATGAAATATACATATTAAGCTTTTCAGAAAAATTGAAACCAAATTTTTGTCAAAATTTCACTTCAGATATATTTTCTTGAATATATCAAATTGACCTGGCGTACCACAAGACTCATGTTGTTACGACAGCTCACAGATGCGTTAATGCTGTTTGTTTAGGTGCTACTTCCTGGTAGTTGGTTTCATGGAGAGTTGCTTTCTTTTTCAAATTATTCTGAACATTATATTTCTATTCGCTCTTATAAAAGATTCTCCCTAGAAATGACCGGAAATGCTACAGCTGACCTTTGACCTTATATTTACTGAATTTTTGATATGCTATTAATAATTTTTTGGCTATTTTTTATGAAGTTATAGGTGATTATATACGTTTTTATCTTACGTCACTGGCGAAAAAGTAACAAAAGATTGTGTAAATAGCGCTGCGTAGGGTATCCACCGCGCATGATCTTTGCATGCATGCTGTAAAAATCATAATTTACAGCCATGGTTACAGCATACACGCAAAGATCGTTATCGCCTATAACTAAAAAAGCCAAAAAACGATTTTAAGGTTGATTCTATTATTAATGGCATATCAAAAATCCTCTCTAGAACAAAAAATCATTTTGCTAGTTCTCTTTTAATACATGAAGATATTGTAACAATTGTGATTTATTAGTTAGTCAATTATGGGTACTCATTGCTACAATATTTTTTTTCTAATTATATCATATGCTTTATAATCATTTGGGGGATTCCTTGGTAACCGACGTTACAATTTATCCTTTAATTATAGTCACTTTATATTAAAAACATGAAAAATCTACAGGGAATTATTTTTTATTGCTGCATGGTAGTACTATGGGAATGAAATATAGGAATTAAAAAAAAAAAAAAATATATATATATATATTTATATATACTGTCTCTTATACACACCTAGATGTGTATAAGAGACAGGTGTGCATATTAAAAAAAAAAAATAAAAAAAAAAAAACTGGTTCGTGTCGGAATCGAACCCACGACCTTCGAAAATTTTTTTTTAAAAAAGCTTGACCCGTGTGGGAATCGAACCCACGATCGCCGAGTTTACTACTTCTGATCAAGCATGACTAAACGGAGGGATGTAAACCGCGGCCCCTAAACCACAAATGCGGTAAACCTAGTACCACACAAAGTAACAGTTAGTCAACTCTTATCCTACTAGAAAAAATTCTTTGTATATATACACTACAGGTTAATATTAGGCATGGTCATGGTGTCAAAAATGGGCCGTGGGCCAAGAGGGTTTATTTTTTTGTCTGAAAATGTAGAATTAAATTTATAATCGATTTTTGATTGTTACCATCTCCATAACTTGCGCACTCTTTTTTAAATAGACAAAAACTTTTGAAAAATTCATTATGCAAATTAGAAAAAAAATAGACTAATCATGTTACGGGAAACCTGGTGGTTGTGTTTTTTTTTTTTTT